CCCATGGTGCGCAAACTTTTTTCGACTGCGACCCCTTTTGTAGAGAGAAAATTTTTGGCGACCCCTAGAGATAAATGTTCACAAATACGATGTATATTTCGCGCATTTCTTTCGTTTCATCGAATAAAAACATCATCATATCTGACTCATATTAATTTTATTTATAATTTTAAGAAAATACTTTTTGTATAACATAAAAATCAGTAAATTTCCCTTTAATGAGATGTATGTGGCTGCAAGTTTCTAATTATCTCATCGATGTTTGGATGTATGTTGCTAATTGCAATTCGCATATCATCTTCAAGGTTTAAACGCGAGCGGTATTTAGTTTTTATTGAAACTAGTTTGCTAAATCCAGTTTCACATAAATACGTTGATGCAAATTGTATTAAAACCCTGATGGCATTCTTGCATAAAACGGGATATTGCTTTTCCACGGATAGCCAAAATTTTTGGCAAGGCTGAGTCTTAAATTGATTTCGAAGAGTATAATCACTAATTAAATCTATCAATTGCTCTTTCTCACTAATTTGAAGAGTTGAACTGCATATGTCGTAGGAAAATGGATCACGAATCCAACCAAGATCGTTTTCAGGAAAATCCTTGAATCTTCTCGAAAAATTTTTCTTTAACTTTTCAATGTGATTGGAAATGATGTTTTTAAATGTAAATATATCTATATTATTTACCTTGATAAAATCGTTAAAGCAAGGGAACATGTCTGTGTTGTTTTTATTCAGTTCAGTTTGCCAGAGACTAAGCTTATTCTTAAAAGCTTGAATTTTACTGGCTGAAGTTATAATAGTTGAATTCTCACCCTGCAAGCTCAAATTTAAGTCGTTAAGTTTTTCGAAAATATCAACTAAATAACTCAGCTTCCCTAGCCAAACTTCATTGATATAATAACTTGCCAATCTATGTTTCTTTTCGATTAAAAACATGTACACTTCATTTCTCAAATCAAATATCCGTCATAGTATTTTCCCACGTGAAAGCCATCTGACTTCGGTGTGTAACAGTAATCTCTCATACGTTGAGCCCATCTCATTGCAAAGTATTGAAAAGAGACAGCTGTTGAGACTGTTGCATTTAATGTAGTTAATTGAACGAACAGCGTCTTGTAATATGTTGTGCAACTCTTCATCCATATCTTTTGCAACAAGAGCTTGCCGATGAATCATACAGTGATTAAATACCATATGAGGCGTCACTTTCTGAATTAAGCCTCTGAGCCCTTTTATTTGAACCTGTTAATGCTGCAGCACCATCAGTACAAACCGCAACACAGTTTGCCCAGGTAAGGAACTTTGCTTCAAAATATTCATTTATTACTTCGAATATTTTTTCTCCAGTTGTTTTTCCTTCCAAACTTTTGCAACATAAAAACGTTTCTGTTATATTCTCATTAAAAATAAACCTAACGTAAATAATTAGTTGTGACATTTTAGTAATATCGGTAGTCTCGTCCAGTTGTAAAGCAAATACAGATGAATTTTGTATGCGTTTTATGACTTCTGACTTGATATTTTGTGACATTTCAGAAATCCGCCGAGACACTGTATCTCTTGATAATGGTATTGTTTTTAGTTCATTTCCATATTTATTGCCATGCATAATTGATGTCATCTTGGTTGCTGCAAGAAGGATAAGGGATTCTCCAGTTGTATGGGGTTTCATTGTTTTTCCTATTAGATAAGAAACTTCTAAAGAAGCTCGTAATGCTTTCTGAGGTATTGTTGTAAATTTCTTTAAATGTGCACTTTGAATTTTCAGATTTTCAGCTCATCTTTGAAAAAAATTGGCATGTTTATTTTAATTATCTCATCGATGTTTGGATGTATGTTGCTAATTGCAATTCGCATATCATCTTCAGGGTTTAAACGTGAGCGGCATTTAGTTTTTATTGAAACTATCAGGTCAGTCCATAAGTTTGTGCGCATTTTATATTGTCATATAATAATAGAATTATACTTATTTAACTTTAGATAGTAGAAACTGATTGTAGGTTTTTTCAATTTTTTATTTATGACTTTGCCACAAAAGTNACCACTGGTTTAAACAGTTTAGGACTATTCTATTTGCTGCTGAAAAAAGCTGCCTGGTTGTCCTGAATGATATGAACTGGGATTCAATGAATTGCAGAGAATATAATGAAGAAAGTTATAGGCAGACAATGTGAGACAACATACTGAGGTTTGCTAGACAGCTGGTAGAGCTCATCTGAGTGATATTATACTCAAAGTGACTTTGTGACATAATACTTTTGTATGTAATTTCTTTTATTTTGCTAGTTAATATTTGCAATTAAAGTGTTCATTTTCCACATTACTAATTATCTGATTGTTTTGCATCATTTTGTATGATAATTTAATAGTGAAATGATATTTTTGTTTTATACTGTGTAAGCTGAAGAATGAGCTATTATGTAAATATCAAAATTAACTTAGTACTGTGTTTTCTTAAGTACTTATAAAGTATCTAGGTCTAAGTTAAAATTTTCAGCTTTAATTTTTATATTTCAGTTTTTTAAAATATGAATAATTTAATTTGTTGTTGCAAAAAATCTTATCTGTTTTGATGTTCAAAGAAAATATTGTAAAAGCTGGTTCTTTCTGTCATAAAATGTGATATATCTTGTCAATACACTGGTGTAATTATGAGAATTATGTCATCCCTGGCATAGAAGTTACATTCATTATATGATTTTGACGTTTACAAATGTTCTACAATTTTATGCCAATACATATGCTAATAAGGCAGCCAATCACAACGGATAAAGATCATTATTTGACAAGGTGGCTGCTGAATATATAAATATGTTTTGTGTTCGGAAGGAGAATGCAGAAACTATAATTGCTTACAGTAATGAACTATTTTTGGAAAAGATAAAGTATTGCTTTCTTCTGGGTATAGAATGCTTAGAATATAAAGATATTATATTGAAGAATAAGATTGGCTTGTTTATTAACTTGTTTATATTCATTCTTTACTTCAATTAAAAATGTTTTACAAAGTTTCAACATTTATTCATTATGCTTGTGTTTCTAATAATATTGTTAAGTAAGGTGGAATAGTTTTTGATAAGTTTTAAAGACCAAGAATGAAGTAATACTTACATAAATAATAAGTATATGTATATACACTTATTATTTATATTATTATATATATAAGTAAATAATATATATATATATATACTTATTATTTATAGTAAGAATATATATATATATACTTTTGTAACAGTAAGAAAAGTATATATATATACTTTCTTACTGTTTACAATGCTTAACATCATTCATTGAAGTATGTGGAATCAACATCATATTAAAACCCATTTGATCATGACATTGATATATGTTTTGCATTTACTTTTTTCCTACAAATTTATTTTGTATTGAAGTTTGAAATTGCAACTGTTGTTTAATAAGTCAGATACATCAATTGATACAACTCAATATAATAAACTTTAATATTAGAGTAGATCTAAGATTTGATCAGATTATCAGCCAATCAAGCAGAGTTTTGTTTTTACATGCACCTTTTATCTTTGTATTGAACAACAGTATGTCAACTGTATGAAGTGTAATGCATTTACAGCTGCTTTTTATGCCAATGAGAAATAGACTTAACTGTCTTGCAGCTTATTGCAAACTTATACATTCGTTTGTACTTACCAAATAATTATTAATGTATTACCAGAAATAACAAAATTATAAGCAAAAGATATTCCATTAAGTTTGTGTTCTGCAAATATCAGTTTATAAGTAACATTAATATAATATAATTATGGAAATAAGTTATAAATAATAATAATACAATACAGAATGCTTGAATATAAAACATAAACAACCATAAATTCTAGCACACATTCTTTAATAACTAATTGACCTTATTCAAAGGCCTTCATCAGTCTTCATTACTTCAAATATAAAAGATACAGATGGAACAATATAGTAGCACTAAGTATACTTAAAACATTATGAGCAGTATTTATTGAAACCAATAATAATTCTAAATATTGTAGAAGTTACTTTTTACAGAATGATAAATGTATTGTACAAATATATAAAATTTGTGTGTCACTAATTACAGTAATATCACATTAATGATTTTCTTGTATTTTTCTGGTTGTTGAAAATGAAATAAATACATCATGGTTACGCACAGGCAAAATAAGTACTTTTTTATGTAGTTTTTAAATACAATATTTCCTTTATTTCAAATTAGGAGATACACGTTTTTATTGGTGATACAAGAAAAGATAAAAAGTTTTTTAGTTTTTTCTGTATTGCTGATGAAACTGCATGTCTTCTAATTTTAATTTTTTGGTGAAAAATATGCTTATATGTTTATATTTATTTACTTGATTTTAAGACACAACATGAATTTGGAATCAAACTGTAAGATTTTTCTTTGAGGAAAATTTTAAAATAATTAATTTTATTGTGCTTAATTATATTTACATGTTATAATTATTAATGTATAATAATTATAACACATAAATAATATTAAGTTAGAAAAACAATACATATGCCATGAAGAAACAGGTAATTTTTAACAGTTCTGTTTTCATGCTCTTTTGCATATACAATTATCATTTTAATGCTGCATTATTATGCCATTTTGAACATTAAAAAAGTTTAAATACTTGCTACTGACAAAGCTCATTTGAAGTGATTTTACTATTCAGGAGTATAGCCAAAAGCATTTATTATTAGTTCCTAACATTATTTAATTTGCTTGTGTTGTGTACATAAGTGTTTTAAAATCAAGGAAAATATAGTATTTTATTTTGTCTGTATTAGTTTTCCTATAAATGTTTTGTTTATACTTTTGACTATGATTTTAATATTACATAAATGTTTTCTTGTATTAAGTAAGCATTTACAATTTTGTTTTGTTCTTCAGTGGAACTTGTTAGTTTAAGAGAATCAGAAGAGAAACTTAAACAACAACAGTTAGAAGCCACCAGACGTGAAAATATTTTGGTCATGCGTCTTACTACAAAAGAACAAGAAATGCAGGATTACGCTGTAAGTAATTTGTTTATTGTTAATTATAAATGGTGCATTTTAAATCATCATGAAATATTTATAAAATAAAAATATCTTCAAATGTATATTTATTGTATGGTGAAAATATGGACTATAGTTGTTATAATAATTACAATGTTATAGGAATTAACTCCTTAAGGACATTGACANACTAAAATCAGTAAAAATACAGGTTATAATGAAACATTTTCTTACCTTAATTCAATAACAGTTTTTAACACATACCTGAACCAGTTACTGGTGTTAGAGAAAGATGAACAAATATCGTAAATGTTTGATATTTATTTGTCTTTCTCTAACACTGGTAACTGGTTCAGGTATGTGTTGATTTCATCCCAGTGTTCTGTGAATGTGTAAGTTTAGCAGTGTTTATTGAGTATAATCTTGTTAGTTAATTATCAGATCTATTAACAATTTGACAGTTTACTTTTTGTTGTGCATTTGTTTAAATTTATGCTTTTGTTACTGTTTATGATGCTGTTGATAGAGGAGGTGTGCAATACAAATACTTGAAATAATTGATGATTTTTAGTTTTTGCATTGAGAAAAATATCTATAATTTGAATTACAGACAACAGGCATTTCCCTGCTTATGAACAGGTTAGGTTCTCAGGGTTTTATCATAAGTCAAAAACAAATCTAGAAAGTACATCTATACATAGGAAAACCATGTATTGTTAGTATTTGATTCTTCAATGTGCCTAATAGAATACACTACTGTTTGGTAGTGGGTGTTTCAAACAGTTTTTTTCACCTAACGCACTTAGTTTAATAATATCAACTTTAGTTACTACAGTAACAGAGCTTTCTTTCATTTATCTTCACTGCTTGATTTATTATTATGTTTTGGATGCATTTTTGAAGCAATAATCATAAAAGTTTAAAAAAAATTCAAACAGTAGCAAAAAATGCCATTACTTCAATATTGCCAACTTCAGTGCCATCTCACGAGCAGCAATGGCACATCAGAATTTGTGCAATAATGAAAAATGATGATACATAATAGAAACAAATTCTCATTAATTATTTATGAAAAATTTATTATTTATTACTGGCTAAAGACTGACTTCAATACCACCCTGCAACCAGCAAGCAAACTTCAGAATTTGCATGAAATTTAAATTTTAGACATACTGTCAAATTGTTTTTAAGTCTGAAAGTTCATAAATAGGGGTGAGTTTCTGTATTTTGATATCTGTTGTAATAAATTTGGCTAAACTTTGATTTTCAAAAGAATCAAAGATATTTTTAAATAAAGAATATTTATTTTCAAAGATATAAGTAGATAACTAGAAATTATGGAAACTTTTATGATTAATTTTTAAAATTGTTTTGATTAAAGCAATTATGATTAACTTTAGCTAGGGATTTTCAAATTGGAGCTATTAAGCACTGAAATTTAGCAAAATCTTATTATAATTTTTTACAAATTTAATTCAGTTGTCATGTAGGATGAAAAATGGGAATAATTAGTAGAAGCAAATTTATTTCTCTAAGATGTCAAAGAAGTCAAAATATATATATATTTTTCAATATATGCAAATTTAACTTGAGAATTTTTATATAGATTAAAAAAATTAAACACAAATTTATAGAAAAAATTAACACACACGATTAAATCCATGGTGCGCAAACTTTTTTCGACTGCGACCCCTTTTGTAGAGAGAGAATTTTTGGCGACCCCTAGAGATAAATGTTCACAAATACAATGTATATTTCGCGCATTTCTTTCGTTTCATCGAATAAAAACATCATCATATCTGATTCATATTAATTTTATTTATAATTTTAAGAAAATACTTTTTGTATAACATAAAAATCAGTAAATTGCCTTTTAATGAGATGTATGTGGCTGCAAGTTTCTAATTATCTCATCGATGTTTGGATGTATGTTGCTAATTGCAATTCGCATATCATCTTCAAGGTTTAAACGCGAGCGGTATTTAGTTTTTATTGAAACTAGTTTGCTAAATCCAGTTTCACATAAATACGTTGATGCAAATTGTATTAAAACCCTGATGGCATTCTTGCATAAAACGGGATATTGCTTTTCCACGGATAGCCAAAATTTTTGGCAAGGCTGAGTCTTAAATTGATTTCAAAGAGTATAATCACTAATTAAATCTATCAATTGCTCTTTCTCACTAATTTGAAGAGTTGAACTGCATATGTCGTAGGAAAATGGATCACGAATCCAACCAAGATCGTTTTCAGGAAAATCCTTGAATCTTCTCGAAAAATTTTTCTTTAACTTTTCAATGTGATTGGAAATGATGTTTTTAAATGTAAATATATCTATATTATTTACCTTGATAAAATCGTTAAAGCAAGGGAACATGTCTGTGTTGTTTTTATTCAGTTCAGTTTGCCAGAGACTAAGCTTATTCTTAAAAGCTTGAATTTTACTGGCTGAAGTTATAATAGTTGAATTCTCACCTTGCAAGCTCAAATTTAAGTCGTTAAGTTTTTCGAAAATATCAACTAAATAACTCAGCTTCCCTAGCCAAACTTCATTGATATAATAACTTGCCAATCTATGTTTCTTTTCGATTAAAAACATGTACACTTCATTTCTCAAATCAAATATCCGTCATAGTATTTTCCCACGTGAAAGCCATCTGACTTCGGTGTGTAACAGTAATCTCTCATACGTTGAGCCCATCTCATTGCAAAGTATTGAAAAGAGACAGCTGTTGAGACTGTTGCATTTAATGTAGTTAATTGAACGAACAGCGTCTTGTAATATGTTGTGCAACTCTTCATCCATATCTTTTGCAACAAGAGCTTGCCGATGAATCATACAGTGATTAAATACCATATGAGGCGTCACTTTCTGAATTAAGCCTCTGAGCCCTTTTATTTGAACCTGTTAATGCTGCAGCACCATCAGTACAAACCGCAACACAGTTTGCCCAGGTAAGGAACTTTGCTTCAAAATATTCATTTATTACTTCGAATATTTTTTCTCCAGTTGTTTTTCCTTCCAAACTTTTGCAACATAAAAACGTTTCTGTTATATTCTCATTAAAAATAAACCTAACGTAAATAATTAGTTGTGACATTTTAGTAATATCGGTAGTCTCGTCCAGTTGTAAAGCAAATACAGATGAATTTTGTATGCGTTTTATGACTTCTGACTTGATATTTTGTGACATTTCAGAAATCCGCCGAGACACTGTATCTCTTGATAATGGTATTGTTTTTAGTTCATTTCCATATTTATTGCCATGCATAATTGATGTCATCTTGGTTGCTGCAAGAAGGATAAGGGATTCTCCAGTTGTATGGGGTTTCATTGTTTTTCCTATTAGATAAGAAACTTCTAAAGAAGCTCGTAATGCTTTCTGAGGTATTGTTGTAAATTTCTTTAAATGTGCACTTTGAATTTTCAGATTTTCAGCTCATCTTTGAAAAAAATCGGCATGTTTATTTTGAAGTTCTTTATGTTTAGTTTCCAGGTGCCTTTTTAATTTAGCTGGTTTCATGCTCTCATTTGCTAATTTTTCGTTGCAAATGAAACATATCGGGCATACAAAATGTAAAACCATACTTAATAAATTCCTCATTGTATTTTCTTATTTTTTTAGATAGGGCATTTAGTTCAGTATTTTGCGACTCCTCATCAGTATTTGTTCGTTTGTTAGCAGAAGATGTACCTGGTGTATGTATTACCCATTTATCCATTATGAAGATAGGGGTTAAATTTTTTTAACTAAAACAAATAATATATTTTCTTTTTTCATTTTTTTTTCGAGAAATTCAATAAAATTAACAGAGATCTTTCTCTAATGATAGTACATACCTGATAACAAAGAGTAGTAAAGCCCGATAAAAATATACAAAATCATAATTACACAACGTCACATGAAAAAACTTGAGGAGAAACTAAAACAATTGCAGGCCAACTGCTACATGCTACAACTTTACATGGAAAAGCGCAGTAAAACATTCAGCGATAATTTTTGGTCGTTTGGTTGGCCTTTGAGGATTGTGGCTTTGTTCCTTTGTTTGGCTTGGTATGCTTAACCGGTCAGCAGTGAGTGAAGACTATAGTCATCCAACAGGGTCGTGTGGCTATTGTGAAAGACGACAATAGTCGTCCAAGGTCAATGAGGTCGATCGCCAGAAAGTAGCCTAAAGCTAAAACAGAAAATAAATTAGGTAAAAAATAATTACTGTAGCATTTAGAAAACACTTTACTCTACCAGACATGAAATAGTACAAAATCTTATATCGAAAAACAAACGAGTAATAATAATTCAAAAAAATTTTTTTTAATTTTTGACCTTTGCCCTCCACAACCAGGTGTAGAAACCTGTCTTAATGCTTCACTTATCTTATCTCTTCTTTTATGGCTTGGTTGGCCTTGGCTTGGTACGCATGTCTACAAGATGACTACCACAGCCCTTGATTACCACTCCATCTCGTATGGCGCGCATGCTCAGTGCGCACCGTTTTTGACACAGTACGTATAACATCAATACGTCGGACAAATAGGCGCTTTTTAGTAAAACTGGAGAATTACCGCGAAGAGGGTGCCATCTACTGGAGTGAAAAACTTGCGTCTTCACACTTTACATACATTACGCATTACGGTCAAAGAAAGAGCGGACATCATGAAATTGCAATTAAACAGTGAGTGACGGCGCTTCACTTTTTATATGTACACTGTATGGTATGCAGCATGCAGGCATAATGCATTTCATAAAAATTTGACGACCCCAAAAAACTTTTGGCGACCCCTAGTTTGCACACCACTGATTAAATGACTGTTGCCATAAATACATTTTAAACAATTTTACATATCAAGGGAAGGAAATCTTAACATATAAATATTAGTTATAAACTCTGCCTTATGACTTTGTTATTTCTATGGTGTGAAAAGGACAAAAACATATTTCTTTGTCTTATATTCTGTTCATGAATGTTTTAAACGAATTGATACTGTTACGAACTTAACTGAAAATTCTTGATTCTTT